ATGTATATTTGCATCTTGAACAGTGAGATTTTACACAAATGTATGATTAAACTTCACACTTGCAGATGTCTAGTACCAAAGAAAATGAAGCCAAAGCTGGTCTGTCAACAACTTCTGGAAAGTCAAGGATGCTTAAAAAACACACTGCTCGCAAGACAATGTCTTCGCGCTGTAAGGTACAAAGTAAAATGATGGTGAGTGCTGCTTGCAAGACTGGGATTGTGGTAAGCACAGATCCTGAAAGAGTCAGGGATGAGTCGGCAAACAAGATGGCAGTAGTGCATACTAACAGCAATACAAAAACAAGTCAGAATGAAAAAACACAGTCAGGTGAGATTACAGCTGGATCAGTTATGTCAGCAACTAAGAGAAAATTGGTATGTGGCAAACCGTTAGTGAAAGCTGAATCCAATGACAGTTTTGCCACTAAAAACATCAAAGGGTCAGTGTATAAAGTCAAGAATGCAAAAGTCCTCTCTTTAAAACCTGTGGACAAAATGGCAACGGTTAAGACTGACAAAAACACTTCCATCAGTTGTGAGATGAAAGGTGATGTTATTCCACCTGTTGATAAGACAACTTTTGTTAAAACTGACACGAAAGTAGTTTGCAGCAATGATGATGATGATGAGAAATATTCTGTATCAGACGTGGAAGGAGTAGAGGTTATCTTCTCTGATGTTGAAGAACTTGATAATCCTGTGCAGATTACTCCAGACAATATTGAACTTGAAGTTTTTCTCATTGATAATGATGTTTCCAACGATAGTGATGCTTTGGAGACAGATGAAACTAGTGTCAATAAAACCTGTGAGACCATGTTTAGACCTAGCATGGAAATATTTTGCCCTACAAAAAATCAAAGAGATGGCAGTCATTTTGAAAATACTGAAGAAAGGCCACAACCAGACCTCAGTTCTCCATCAATTAACACAAACTCTTCTGTTTTGTCAACTCCAGTATTGCAGAACAGGGCTTCAGGCTTAAGACCAAGTGTTAGTGATATCATTAGTGATATCATGACTTCTTTACCATTGGACAAAGTTTGTGCTATTCAGAGGACACCCAGCACTAAAAGACCTGCATCATTATCCAGTAAAGGCCAAGACAAAAATGAAATGGTTGCTCAACCAGGAAGTGATGTACAGTTGGGTTTAGGAAAAGATATAAGGACTGCTGCGCCCCTTGATAAGTGCATTGTCAAACTGAATAAGGTCTGCAGTGACAGCGCTGCTTCTCCAGCAAAGGTGAAAATTGAAAGAAATAAAAGCACCAGTGTTGCTACTCCTGCTAAAATAAAGGTAAGCAGAAACCATTGCAATAGTGATGCCTTGCCAACAAGTACTAGTAATAGAGTTGTAAGAAGCCATAGTGACAGTGCTGCCTCTCCAGCAGCTAGAAAAATGGTAAAAAACTATGGCGATAGTGCTTGTTCTCCAGCAAATAAGAAAGTTGGAAGAAACCGTAGCAATAGTTCAGCTCTGTCAGTAAACACGAAAGTGGGAAGAAACCATAGCAACAGTGCTGCTTCACCAGCAAGCGGGAAAATGAAAAGAAACTATGGCAATAGCATGGCCTCACCAGCAAGTAAGAAAGTGGGACAAAACCATAGCTATAGTTCCGCCTCACCAGTGAGCGAGAAGGTTGAAAGAAACTTCAATTCTGCTTCATCAGCAAGTAAGGAAGTGGGAATAAATCTTTGCAACAGTACCACTTCACCAGCAAGCAAGAAGATGGACAGAAATCATAATAAAATTGGTACCTCACCAGTTATTAAGAAAAAGGATGGAAACTATAACATTCATTTTGATTCACCAGTAAATATGAAAATGAATAAAAATATAAACAATAAACATGCTTCACCAGCAAGTTTAAAATTGAAAAGACAGCATGATAACAGGCTTGCTTCAGCAGCAAAAAAATGTCAAGCTTCACCAGCAAAAAGTTTTAAAATGATTGGAAAGCAAAAGGAAATGGCTGTTTCACCAGCAAATAAGGACAGCAGCAGAGTTAATAAGAAGACAGTTTCATCAGGAATGGTTGCTAAAAGATCAAACAAAACTGAGGTCACAAAACAGGCAAGGAAGCCCTATGAAAATTCCAAGAAAACGCCTTTACTGGTAGATATTGATGCTAAAGGTTCAGAGGAAAATCATGCCATAACCTCAAACTCTGGACCTGAAATTATTAAAAGAAGACATAAAACTTCTGCCAAAGATGAGTCCATTAATTCAAAAAGGAGGAAAGCATATTCTTCAGACTTTGAAAAGAAAGGTCCCAAAAGAAAGCTTGCCACATGTTCAGACTCTGATTCAACAATCTCAAAAAGAAAACCAGCAGTTTCAACAGACTCTAGCATCATAAACTCAGAATGTATAGATTTAATGAAATTTCCTGAAAATGAAAAATCTGAAGAGAAGCTGACAGAATCAAGTGAGGATGCTACTGTGGTAACACCCCTGGAGGAAAAGTCATCTTCCAAACTGTGTCTGCTGGATAGGTCCAATAAAGAGCCTGTTAAGACTCCAGTTATCAACTTCACTGATCTGACATCAGAACGTAAAACTGGTAAGTAATTTTGTGGCCCATATATAATAACTCGGAGGCACAAGAACAAATAAGTACTTAATTGGTGGTGTTACATAAACAGCAACATGCATGTTTAAAACTTAAACAGTAATATGCATCACATTCTAGGAGATACAATTATATATCATAATAGTACATTTCTGGAGCTTAATGACAAAGAAATAACGTTTTTTTCATTGATTTATAATTCCAGAAAGTGCCTGTCCATTTGAAAATAGCTGGTCAGATACTCAATCAAAGGATGAGGGTGAGTACAACACTTGATGTTGGAAATTGAAGATGCTCAACGAGTTATTACAGAGAATATATTCACATGTTTTTAAAAGTCTAAAACATTAATACATGCATTTAAAACATGCAGGTTTCCTTGAAAAAAGGTACTTTCCTTTATTTGAAAAATTTAATTGTTTAGTTGGATAACTAGTGGTAACTCTGTAAACAGGGTTGATAGAGAAAATTTATTTTTATTTTTGAAAGACATGATGATGCATAAAATATATGGCAGAAATGTCAAATTTA